GAGCCTCAGTTGCCCCAGCTGCTTAAAAACCCCTCCACAGGCCACCTCAGGAAAGCCTGGAGTTCTAGCTCCATGGTAGTCTTGTAACAGTGCCCAAAAGTGTCCTCTCAGCTGAAGCCCCCCCGTGATTTGGAAGCGTTCCTGCCACGCTGCAGAAAATGACCCAAAGGATTTGCCAGCACTGTGTTTATAAAACCATTCTATCACTTGACAGCATCCAGGAGTCCAAATGATGTCCCTTTGTGCTCCTGTGCCAGGAGCTCTGCAAACACCACCCCCAGCCCCTTCATCTGCACCCCTCCAGAGCACTGAGAGGGCAGCCCCCAGCCCAGGGCCTGGCCAGGCTCCTCCACATGCCCAATTCACAGACCCAGCCCCACATCTGCCCTTCCCCAGTGCCCCCAGCACCTCCAGCACACACCACTGCAGCCATCTGAGACCTGACGCACCACCACAGTTCATCACATCCCACAGGACTACAGAACAAGGGTGGCTGGTAGCCCAGGGCTTCCTCAGCCCAGGGTGGGTCACAGAAAGGGGTACAGGCAAGATAGGGGAGCAAATCCCACCTCCCCAGGGTGGTTTGGAGGTGCAGGAGCTACTCACCAAGGGCAGGGGAGTGACCAGTGCCACCAGCAGCAGCCCAGCAGAGGAGACTCCTTTGGCTCACACCCAGGGCTTTGCAGCAGCAGGGAAGGTGAAGAAGATCCAACATTGGACTTTACAGCTCCAGGAGACAGAAAGTTAAGGAAAAGCCAAAGCAAATAACCAGTTTGCAACAGTTCCTGGAAAGGAAGAAGCGAGGTCTTGTGTTGGAATAGCTGTGCAGCAAACTGCCAGAGCCCCTGGGTCATTCCTCCTCTCTCAGCAATAAGAAAAAAATCTTCATCCTTTTCAGGCCCCCTCCTCAGAGAGAAGATCCCCTGCCCAAGAAAGCCTCGTGCTGCTTTGCTGCAGCTCTTTACAGGGGTGGAGGGGCTGCTCAGCTGCAGGGGGCTGGCCATGGCTCACACACCTGCTCACACAGGTGGGCTCTGGGGTGGCCTCAGACCCACCTGCCTTTCTGGGCAGGCTCCTGCCTGGCTCCCTTTGCTAATCTTGGAGCCTGGAGAGCTGAGTTTTGCCAGTTCTATTGTGATAGGATGGAAGGATCTGAGCTTTATGTGCAGGGATTTCTGCCTCTAGGTGAAAAAATCATCATGCACAAGCTAAATGATGTGTTTTGCATGACCTTAGTCAGGAGTGTCTTAATTCTTTTTTAATATGGCAGGTAAAGGAGGCTGAGGGGATACCTTATCACCCTCTACAACTACCCAAAAGGAGGGTGGAGTGAGGTGGAGGTCAGGCTCTTCTCCCAAGGAACAAGCAATAGGACAAGAGGCAATGGCCTCAAGTTGTGCCAGGGGAGGTTGAGGTTGGAGCTGAGGAACAATTTCTTCCCCTTGAAGGTTGTCCAGGGCTGTGCCAGGCTGCCCAGGGCAGTGTTGGAGTCCCCATCCCTGGAGGGGTTTCCAAGCTGTGGAGATGTGGTGTGAGGGACACGGGGCAGTGGGGACCTGGCAGTGCTGGGGAACAGTTGGACTTGATGATCTTAATGGTCTCTTCCAATCAAAACGATTCTAGGGCAAAAAGCTTCCTTCAAAATACAATTAAAAGCAGGTTCTAGACCTGCTGTCTGTAATTAAGCAATAAGACCTTCTCTCCCTTTGTCTGATATGCAGACACAGAGGCAGTGTCATCAAATAGACAAACATATCTCAGAGAGAAAAAAAAAATCCCCAAAGATCCCAGCTAAAGGAGCTCTAAGATCATAAAACCATCACTGATTCTACTTCACAGACAAGCTGCAATATCTATTTATAGAAGGTGAAACGTGAAGCTAATTGATCTTGGCATATTTAAGCTAGAGCCCATTCAGCATTTGCACTTGGGGAGCAGGACAGAAATGCTGGGTGAATAGTAGATCACTGGGAAGGAATAGCTAAATCACCACTGGTTTCAGTGGGAGCTGGGCTTCCCAGTGAGGTCTGAACCCTGAACTTCAATGGAGAGAAGATTTCCTGTTATCCCTGTTGACTCACAGCTCACAACCATGTGATCCCAACCATCTGGTAAACTTTCTGATTTCAGCCTGAACTACTGGATTTCCATCTGCCTTGTCCTCCTGGGAAAAGCAAAAAGTAGCATTAGTGCTGTCAAATTCCTTGGTCATTTTCTCTCAGTGTGTCCCAGGAACTTGGGCTGGGTGGGGGGATCTCCCCTGTTATCACCCCCAGAGCTTCCAACGTGGCCAAGCCAGGCTGATTTCAGGGGGTACCAATAGAGGTCTGTATGTTCTTACTTTGTTCTTTCCCTGAGGAATATAAACTATTAAGATCTTATGAAAATGCTAAAAGGTGTCTGGGGAGTGCCCCACCAGTCTGAGGCTGTCTGGCACGCTGGTGTGAGATCTCTTCACTCCAAGCTCCCTTTAGTCCATGAGAACTACAGGTTCTCATGGAAGAAACAGTGGATGGCAAACTCTGTCTAAAGCTAAACACCAGCAGAGACTAATCCCAGCCAGTACCCTAAAGAGAAGCACAAAAGGTGACCAAAAAAACCTGATCTGCAGATGCTGCTGATCTCAGTCTGGGCTTCAAGATGTTACAAGTTGGCCAGCCACAAACAGATGCTTCTGAAACTGCTGGTTATTTTCCAAAGCCTTTTTTTTCACTGAATTTTGGGTAAGTTTTACTATCAAAGACATCTCTGCGCTCTGATAACCTTCAGGTTCTGCCTTCAGGTTCTTTGCTCTCTTTCAGATTCTTTGCTCTCTAACAACCTTCAGGTTCTGCCTTCAGGTTCTTTTTTTTGTGCAGCCTCAGTCTTCAGCTTTTCCTATTACTGGCAACAGGGCAGGCAGGCTGTATGTAGAAGAAAAGACTTGATAATTCAATGGATAAGGCATAGGCAGAATGAATCTGGATAGTGCTAAAATGAGAAACAATAGAGATGAGCATCAAAATAAATGGAGCTGCTGTGGTTGAACGCCAAGGGAACAGCTCTGTGGTGGTTGGACACGCTACCCTGGCTCTTTTTTGGAGCCCAGCCTTGCTAATCAAGCTGATGAAAGCCATTGTACGAGCAACTGAGCAACAAAAGGTTGTGTGGAGGAAGGAAATGGTGTGCTTGTGCAGCCCTGTGTTTCTAAGGGTTTATCGAATCTGCAGAAAGATCAAGCTATCTCTCAGGACCACCGTGTGTCTGCAAAAATACAGGAAGTGCCTTTGCCTGACCTTTACACACAGCCAGAAGATTCCTTGGCACGGCTTGTTTTTGCAGCCTCTTGCTCCACCTCAGGAATGCTTTGGAGGCCTGGCTTTCCCTGGGCTGTGGGGATAGGTGAGAAACGTGAGCAGGCTGGGAGCATGGCACGTAAACTCTCTGTCAAGGACTTTCTGAGCACCCTGAAGAGCGAGGAGATGGAGATGTGCCTTAGCACCCAGGAATGGCTCTGGCAGGGGGGTGTCCAGGCGCTCAGCACGGTGCTAGGACCCCACTGCTGCCACTGTCCACTTCACCTCCTCCAGCTCTGGCTGCTCTACCACCTCCCCTCTCTCCACAGACCAGAGATGGAGCCTGCCTTGCTGATTTAGACACTTGCATATTAAGTTTTTATCAAAACACTAGCTCTGGAGACACAAATATTCTGCAAGAAGAGGTGGATATTGCTTTGTAGTGGTAAGGACTGATTGCCACCACTGTAGAGCTGCTTTTCTTTTTTTCCCTCCCCTTTTTAGCTAAATTTAATTTAGAGGCAATGCTCATGCTCTTTATCTGCAGGTAGGAGAGTGGGGAGGGAGAGAGTGGGACAATGGGATGCCTTAAGGAAGAAAACCACCATTTATTTTGTCACATTTTTCTTTTTACATCATCCTCGTCATACACATTTCATTGTTAACACTTCATAAATTTTTAAAAAACCACCAAGATAGCTTGCAAAATTATATATATTTTAATATCCAAAAAAAAAAGTACATTGCTTATGTATAGTAGCAAAAGCCCCATTAGGATGGGTAATTTCTTCATACTTAAATTTTGCGATTATTGCAGTAATGTTACTTATAAACATCCCAAAAGCACTAAGACCTAAACTTGATCAGCTTGATCTTCTTTTTTTCATTTTATTAAAGAATGGCTTCAGTGCTTCTGTTTAAAGTTCCAAGCAGACTCTTGATGTTCTGGTTTCGAGCTCCCATCCTGCAATCGGATGCACGTGGACCCAAATTTTGCAGCCACACAGAGCCCCAGAGGTTATGTCTAGACTAGATATTTGTGAGCCTGTGAATTGGTTGCCAGTTAATACAAGTCAGCTAATAGGTTGTACATGTAACTCTCACACAACCTCCCGAGACATCTGTTCTAAAACTTGTGGTTTACCCGTCTGTTTATGGCACCAAACTGCCATTTGTGGATTATCAAATTAACATGTGCAAAATCAGAGGTGGCTGAGAGGGTTTTTTTTTGGGTGTTTAAAATGTAAATGAAAACCCCTGGTGAAAGTTTTTCACGGGGGGTTACGGGAAGTAATTGATAATTTTATCTATGAAGCAGTTGAGGTCTTCTCAAAGTTTGAGATTTTGGTGTAAAACAATCACAAAACGTTTTAATAGTTGCTTGAAAATGTGGGTGCATGTTTTCAATCAGCTTCAATGCAAACAAGTCAGCTAAGTGGAGTTAATTTGCCAACAACTCTGACAGGCTAATACAAGGAAAAAAAACTCTAGATCTCTAGACAAACCCAGGGAAATCTGGAGGATTTCTGGCTACTTTGGGATCAATTATGGATCCAATTGCAGGACCAAGGCTGTCTCCAACAGACACATTACTCATTTTTTTGTTTTTTTTTTTAGATTACCTTTTTTTTTAGCAAAAAAGTACAAAGTTACAGCTCAAATGTACAGATTAAAAAGATGTACAAATTACATTAAAACAAAAACAAACCACACGCCCCAAACAGCTGAGCTGAGAGTAAAAAAAAAAAAACAAAAACAAACCTGCATTTGTGACCGAGGTCAACTCGTTTTACTTAAACTTTTTAAAACCGTGAGATATAGGGAAAAAATAACTTTGCATAATTTATACAGTAATTTGCCTTCTGATTTTGTTGACCCTTCGGATGGCGGTCTGACAAACGCACAGCGTTCGCGAATCGAGAGCATCTAGAGGTCCCTGAGACCCTGCTCGAGCTCAGGGACCTGCTGTCACTTCTTTTCCTTCCCTTTTGCTTTCAAGGAATGTCTGTGCTTGACACTGGGTTCCTTTTTGTTCTGGTTTCTGATGTTTCTGCAGTTAATACACAGTCTAAGGAAGCTGTACACTCTAGAAAAGTTCTTTCAATGCCCTTTACTTCTTAAAATATATATGTACATATATATATATATATGGAGATATATATATATTTCATTTCCAGTTGGGTGAAAATCCTCATCTGCCTTAAAGCTAAAGTTCCAGTTGTGGTCCCCTGCAGCCCAACGTCCTCCACTTAATGGTCAGATTGCCTTACCCTCTCCACAGCGAGAAATAAACCCATGTAGTCATCTTTTCCTACGACCCACAGTTGGATCTATGTCTTGTCAAAAGCCTTTGAATCCTGGCCAATTTATCACATCATAAAGCTAGTAATCATCCCAGGTAATGGTGAACAGTCTTCACAGGCAATTCCTACAGAGGACATAAGCGTTAAAACCCAAAGAAAATGCAGAGTACTGGCCCAAAGAAGCATCCACCTCTCAGTTCAAGACACGAGAGGCAAAGTTACAAAAGTAAAAGGTATTTGATCCAGAAATAACCAATATCCAGTTTTAACTCTTCCCCAGAAAGGCCACAATTATCCATCAAGGGTCCCCCAAAACCCCATTAAAAAAAAATCCCAGAAATAAAGGAAAAAGTCCAACCAGACTGATAAAGGCCACTCAAAGATGAAAGCATCTAGTAATAGCTGCCCAAGTGTGGTGATACGTGGGCGTTGGGATGGCGAGGGACGTTGGGGTTTGGATAGATGCTTCCTGCAGGGGAGGTCCAATAAGGGGAGGCTGCTCCAAAGAAACTGGATGATGTGACAGGCATGGAAGAAGGGTGGGGGGGTACAAAGTTCACCTTCTGCTGGTGGGGGTGGTAGGATGGCATGTAGGAGAGATCTGAGGGGTACTTGTACATCGACGACTCGGCGGGGTGAGGCTGAAGAGCCTGGGCAATGCCATGGAAGTCAAATTTGTAGGCATACCTTTTGCCGTGCACTTTGGTCATAATGTTCTTGTCGTAGTAGTATCGGAGGGCTCGGCTCAGCTTGTCATAATTCATGTTGGGCTTGCTCTTACGTTCTCCCCAGCGCCGGGCCACCTCGTCGGGGTCTGTCATCTTGAACTCCCCGTTGGTCCCTTCCCACGTGATGCAGCTGGCGTTGGAACTGTCCGACAGCAGCTCGAGGAGGAACTGCCACAGTTGGATCTGCCCGCTCCCTGCCAGGAGCAAGCCAAAGAGGAGGGGAAATGACATGGTGTTTCCTGCCTCGAAGCCAAGACAAAGGCAGGAAACAGAAGGACTATCTCGATCTTTGCTGGGAACTGCTCCTTCGAGCCTTAGAAAGTCTTACGTAGGGATGGATAAACTGTTCCCAGCAAACAAGTTAGTCAGCCCTTTGTTCTGTTCGTGGGTCTGAGGTCAGATTAGATTTCATAATGATCTCCTTTGGCCTTCAAATCTCTGGGCTGGTCATAAACAGGCTTTTTCCTGAGCATTCAACCCTTCTGCAGGATTTGTCACTGAATATTGAACACGGTGTCTTTCAACTCTCACCTGCTTACTGTTTACCAGGGACGTTGTTTTGGATACCTGCAGTTGGTCATCTGAGTTACATAAGATTATTTCTTCCCCAGAGCAGGTGACTCCTAGTTTTATGTGCTGGGGTAGATAGTAAAGAGCCTTAAGAGGACGTTTGATGTGTTTGATGTGGACAGGTTTGTTTGGTTGAAGCAAGATTTACTCTGGGTCTTAATCCTCAAGGTCCCAAGAGTGCTAGGGACAGTAATTAAGCAGTGACTCTCAGAGATGTCATGTGCTAGTCCACAGTGGACAGTGAAAAACTAACTTGTACTGCACATCTGAGAGAGCAGCCTTTAAATCCTCTATAAAACTACTCTTAGTAGTACCCCAAACTGCTGGTTTGGGGTAAGAACATTCAGGATGGTGATTTTGTCCCGACAAAGGTGACGTTGTGCCACTTTTCTCACTTCTCTCTAAGGAGTTTTGCAAAGGCACTTGTGGGAGCAGAGCTGCCCAGGCCAGTGGCTCTCACAGCCTGCCCCAATGCTGGAGGACAACAGCTCCTCACCCAGTACAGACTGGAGCAGCAGATCAGCCGGAAGGAGAACCCCCTTGACAAT